AAGCGTGGTCAAGTCTTGGCATGTTTGTAGGAGGGAGTGGATGAATGCAGCTAAAGATCTTTGGTTCCTGCAGCAGGACGACCTTGTCTTCCGACGTGAAATGAACACGATAGCGCAATAATACTCTAACTTTCACTATCCGTAATGTCTATTCGGTAGTAGGTAGGTAGGCACATTAAGGTACCTGTCAAGGTTGGTAGTTGGGTACTAACGTAGCTGTTGTGGTTACACTCAAATTACTAACCCAGACACGACCAGATGACGAAGTTCCCGTCCGATTAGCCAATATCAAAGAAAGGGTCGTCCCACTTCAATCAAAAGCTTTCTCCAAGTGAACACTCAGCCAGAACAACTAGCATCTGAATAAAAAACTGTAAAAAGCATCATGAATCAGAAGCTAAGCTAAGGCACTTGTTACTTAGGTAATCTGGAAAGGCTCTTGCTCGAGGAGCTTGTGCTAGGATGGGGCAATTGTCTAGTTAAATTGGTTGATCTCCAGAATCTCCATCTCTAATTATCTCTCCCTCCACCTCCATCACACCATCAATCCACGACCAGTTCCCCAGATGTTTCCAGCTATTCCATTCTTGAAATGGCGCAACCGCGTCAATTTGCTAGCGTGCAGCCACACCGAGCGGGCTGCTAGCACGGACAGGTGCTGATACACGCTTCGACTCATTATAGATCCGCGCTGGTTCAGCTCCAACATTTCGTCTCATGTGTCAATTCGAATCTCGGTGGTTTTCAGCGTCAGGGGGTTGATTCATCTTCTAATAGACTATCCGTACATACACTCGCATCAGGCCACCAACTTCTCAAACACAGACACCCCCTTCTCCCCTGGTACATGTGTACATACTTACTCACTCACTGCATCGCGGAGAAACGGCTTTAAATAGACTAAACCGGGAGTTTGTTAGAGCCGGGACGAAGAGACGAAACGCCGCCAGAAGCGCGGTAGACTACGACTAGAATTCGTGGCTGCGGCGCTGGGTTTGACCTAACCCTCCAAATGCCCATCCCATCCACGGTCCAAGTTCAATTGGATCCTTCGCGGGGCTCGCCCACCGCGGCTACGCTGCCCGTAAAGCCCTGGCTGAAGTCACCTCCTCTCACCCAGTTTGAATGAGGTGAGCTGCATTGACAGTAGCAGGTCCATCTTCGAAACGTCTCTGACACCTCTCGGAAAGTCGATCCGATGAGGAATCCTACATGCGAAGGAGACAGGGTTAATCAGCCAAGGTCAACATCCAGCCACTCAACACCCTTGTTACGCTGTGCCCGCATATGGTTCAACGTCCCGGCAAAGCATATCATGGCGTTGAACTTTGTTAGTTGCAGAACGGCCTACAAAGAAGCCATGCTCATCTTGCTACGTAAGTATGTATGTATGTACTCTATCTTCCGTCATGGTAGGGGTTGGTTGACAGCTGACATCTTTTGTCTCTTTTCTTTTCTTCTCTTCTTTGTCTTCCGATGCAGATCCCCCAATGCCCCGCCTCCTCTGGGAAACACCCTAACTCATCTTTTAAAAAAAAAAAAAAAAAAAGTACCTACTCCAGTATCTCATCCACAGGTCTGATGTCGTACATTCACACACCGGCAGTTTTAAATCCTGGAGTCCAAAAGTTTCCTACGTTTCTACATCAACGGACCGAAGTCCAAGTAGCGCGTTCTGTCTATAAATACAGTCCCGAAAATTACTATGAGCAGGGAATATACCTGACACTATTGGCTCCAATTGAGTTTCCAAGCAGTGAAGCAACTAAGTAGGTAGGGTTTCGCTCTTTTTGGTTTCGCCTGTAAGTAGGTGCCTTGATCACAAACATATTTGTCCAAGTATTAAATTCTGCCTCAATGCATATAACCTACAATACCTTGCTTGAACTTAGATATTGTTTGTGAACGGTGACATGACAGAAAAATGGAACTCAAGACCAGGCCCCAAACAGCGAAATGCTATTTGCCCATCGTGATATGACCTGACACTAATGCAGGTCCTTCCATCCACCGTCCTGGGCGCTGCCGGCTCCTTGCCCCGGGCTCGACTGCATCAAACAAAATAATCTCTACCTTAGTTAGGTAGCCCTGGGCCTGGGATCCATCATCCAACGTGATGTGGGCACGACGCTAACTAAGGATCTGCAGGCAACTGAAGAGGTTGTTTCAGGTTGGGCACTGGAAGGTAAGAACACCGAAGCTTTTGAGGCACATATCCTCCAAAATAGCATCCGTGCCGCTCTTAGACACGCACGATGCAGCTTGAGACATGAACAGATATTCACTAATAGTTAGGTGGATTTCATGTCCAAGCGTGGCTGGTCGAGAGGCATCGCATCATAGCAGCAATGGCTTGAATATCACGAATCCTGACTTTCGACCTCGGCAGCAAGAATCACAAAAAAAAAAAAAAAAAAAAAAAAAAAACCCCGAACCTAAATAAGTCTCTCCAGTATTAGCCTTTCGCTGCTGGCCTTTGTTGTAAAGGTTTTCGCATCTTCATTGTATTTTAGGTTTAGTACGTCTACATGGTTCGCAGGAACCCTGACCCTGGGAAATGTGTTTCATACTGGGGTTGCTGGCCTCTACGCACTATTACACAGTAAACCATTTCAAGATCCGGGCGACTACGGAACAGTATCAAGCTCACGCCTCTAGATCGACAAGTGTCCTCAGACGACATGTCGCGGAAGAGAATACAGTCGACAGATGCAAATTGCTACCATGTCTCGTAGTCTTGATCCGTGGTCTTGCGCCTCACGGATTCCTCAGAGGCCGTAAAGGGGAGTGTATCATCTGTAACGTAGATCAACTCATTACCACAGAACGCCGCCCAGCAATTGATAAACCGCCGGGCTATCAGTGAACAATCAATAGTACAAAGAATCGAGGCCAGATGGTCCTTCACCCTACTGCATGCCACCTGATCCATGACATACATGCCAAATCCAAGAAGTCACCAGAGGCCCAGAGGAAACTTCTCAGGGCTTCTGATGATCAGCCGTCCCTCAGCTAAGTTTGTTTTGACATTAACTTCCAGGGATAAAGCTCGTTCAAAACCCACTTGCTAATCATCAAAACGAAGATCGGCACATGTGGAAACCCCCCAAGATCGATCAGTTACAAGCAACCTCACGCCTGGTCCATCACCTGCACCTGAACTTCGGTGAGCGCATTTCAGCAGACAGGGTTTGCACGGCGGTATAAACGCTAGCATTCCAAATTGAAGCAGAAGTAGGGGGGGCTGAGCATCCAAGAAACAGCTCTAGCCCCTCGAGATGGGTGGTTGATCCAAGCTTCACACTTCGTGGGCTGCATATGTGCGGTTCCAGCGGCTTCCTGTAGGTAAATAGTTCCACGAAAGCTCAGCTCGTCCATTGGAAAGGGGCAAATGTGCTCGCCCTCGTTAGTTTCGGTCGTATTTCTTAGTTTTCTGGACAATGAAGAGTCACCCCTTCTCATGGGATCGTTTTGCCCCCTCCCCTTGCCTTCCCCCCTTCCGACTCTTGGACAACATTGCAGTAGGGTTACTCTGGAGAGGTTCTATAAGAAGATACATTGAGACAGTTACTGCTTTGATGTCTTTGGGGGCGGAATGCCACAATGTCGATGTGTCTGTCGGCAAAGTTTGGGTCTCTTATCACTCACCACTTGCGTCGTCAGCGTCGTGCGGCCAGTTTTTGTCCGCAAAGCAATGCTAAAGCCAAGCAACCTACCTCTTCAGCTTTGCTAACTTTGCTAGTCTGGCAATAACGGGTCGTTAAGAGTCTGGGTCGCGTATGCATGTTAGGTAGGTAGTTACATCAAGTCATTTTCCCCTGCCACATGCCCACTCTTGTCATCCGATCCAGCTTTTCAGTGGCATGGAACTTACCTGTGGGACACTGGGGACCGTTTGTATAATGAGATGAGTCGAAGCAAATCGAGCCTTCATTCCTTCGGCAGGGACCTTAAGCAGAAATGGAGAGTATTGGTCTGGACAATAAGAAAAAGGCGAGTTCCAAAAAAGCGGGCGATTTCCATAGTGTTTCATCAGAGTATCGATTCGTCTTTGTTTGTTTCAAGAGCGTCGGCACCATAACCAGGCGGGAGGAAAGCCGTTCGCCTACAAGTCCTGGTCATTAACGCATGACACATATATGCTCGATCGCTCGATATCGAGATTGAAACAATATACCTTGCTCTTATCTACCTGATCTAGTGCAGTTATATGCGTATGCTTAAAATCAACTTGTGTCCGCGACATAGCCGAACATGACCCGCTCTCTGCACCAGAAATGCAATTATAGACAAAGAAAGCGATATGATATTTTGCACACTATATATGAGTAGGTCGCTTGAGCATTGTATCTTATATTGCTCAGGAGTTCGTTATAAAATTATGCAATTGAGTAGTGGACCAATGGAGTGTCACGTATGATATATCCCCTGAGGGAGCCCAAAGCCGACTCTATAATCTCAAAGACGAATTTACCAGAAAGATATACATATACCTCCAGAAGTTTTATCCAGGCTGCTTTCGATGTGCTCCTGGTCCAATCAATGCAAACGGTCGCCCCTCATCGTGACTCTTGTCAAGAAAAGACAGATTCAATCTTGAAGTGGCAAGCCATGATAAGAACCACTTGATGCATCACCATCACGAAAATGGCGACTTCATAGCCGCAAACACCAAAATAACAAGCAAAAAACATACAACAGCAGGTATTCGCTGGTCGTCACCGACCCAACTACTAATCCGCCCCTTGCAGACTTGACTATGGGAGAGCGGACGGGATCCCGTATTCTACTGCAGGTATGGTCGTATGTGCTAACGGGGCGTGCTGGGTAGGTTCATGAACACAGAAGATTTATCTCATTCGAGAGATTGGCAATGCATACAGATTATGGTTACAAAAGAGCCGGCTGTATTATAGCAGCTCGATTCTAAGACGGCTGTTCGATCCTTGAGGTCCCTCTGTATACGTGGCCGCAATGGCAACAGGGCACATTCTTAAAACCTAACCACTTCTCAAACAACTGAGAAATGTTTCATTTCACAGGTATTCCCGCTCTCAGATATGCCCCAATCACACGCCACTGTCCAAACCTGTCCATCCAACACAATATCCCATACAGGCTGTCCCACATCAACAACACTCCCGAGGATCACCGGCATCCTCTGGCCAAGGCCCGTTAACCTACCTTCGCCTGCAAGCAGGTATCTACCCTCTTCAGATGTACCTGCCCGCGCTTTGACCAGGTACATCCGCCGGCCTGGTCGAATTTCTTCGATAATCACTTTCTTGGCCAGAGTTGTCGCTGGTGCCGAACCTTCCCAGCCCTTGACTTCAGAGAGCCATCCTTGGAGTTCAGCTGCTAAGCCACCAGCTATGTATTTGGCTCCTCGGCGTTGGGGGGAGAATGCTGCGGGTAGGCCATCTACTGCGGGATCGAGGTCAACAGGCTTGAAGCGTGGTGGCGCGTGAAAGGTTGGTTGCTGAAGAGGTTTTAACTCATTGTTGAGGTTGATAGCATCCTGGATACTCTGTGTAGACCCTTGTGAAGGCGTAAGACCACTTTCATATGTTTCTCCGGGGGATTCGTTGCCTGGGTTGCGTTGCTCTTCTGGGGTGCTAGATTCTCGCCGAGGTGAACTCGATACCCTTCGCCGTTTTGGTTCCCGCTCTTCCAATGAGGGAGAATCGGACTGCGAAGGTGTAGAGTTAGACATCTCAAGGTCGAGAGAGTCTTGAAGAACAACATCTGGTTCGTTATCTGAAATGGCTATGCTGCCACCTTGTGACGCAGTGGCATCATCAGACTCGATTTCGATTGAGTCATGAATTGAGTCATGCTTTCTAAGCTGAACTTGGGGTTCATCACTCCCTGAAAGGGTTTCTTGCGAATTGTCTCCTACATCTTCAACGTCTTCAATATCTATGCCGGTTCTTGCCTGTGTTGGCCTCGGAACAGATGACGAGGCAAATCGAGGAGTTGACTGGAAACGCGGTAACGTCGCAGGAGTTTGCGATGACTGCGTGCCACGTTTTGGCAGAAGAAACCTTTTGGGCGTAGGTGTCTGGTATTTATTAGGCCAAAACGTAATCTCTCGATTAATGAAATCTTACACTTGGAGGGGGGCTCATGGTATAGGGTGAATGCGCATGACCGCTATACAATGCAATACGCTTGCCATGGAGATATTACTTGTTCAGAATACCTTGTGGTCTCAAGTCAGTATGAGTCCTTGGCCACGCAAAATCAAAAATGATTATAACTGTGTCAATGGTGAAGTGTTGTGAAATATCGATGATAATGAAGATGTGACGTTCGCGACGAGAGAGCACCGGTAAAAGTCCGGGCCAAGGACTGCGCCATCAAACACTCTGATGAACGAACTCCAGCACTGAATGAATACCCGAGTACCTTAAGATATCTAGATCGAGATAAGGTAGTTCTTCTTATTATTATTTTTTTGAAGGGGAGAATGACGAGGATGGGCACAACAAGGCACGTCACAACATCACAAGCAATAACACGATTCCTGGCTGGCTAACTAGTTCTTGGTCCGTCTTGCTACTGGATTACCTTTACTAGAATAACACTTAATTCACACGCTGGAACTGACGTTCTTTGATATTTTGCTTGGTATATGTCAAAATTAGGCACTCCAAACTCCTGACACCCAAATGCGCATCTCTCAAGCCCCCATATCTAATACACGATACAACAGGGTCAATTAGAGTAATCGCATACCTGCGGCACTGGCCACCATTAAAAGGACGCGGCAGATCCAAGGACGAGAAGCAATGATATCCAGTGATATAGCATGTCTGATTAGCCTGCCTATGAAGCAAGTCTTTGCCACGACAATAGTAAAAGCTTAACCGTAAGCTAACTCAAATGTCGTTTCATGATTATCACTGGTTGGCTCCGTATTCTTGACTTGGTGAAGCATAATTGGGGGTAGGCATGGCCGTCCGTGCTTCTCTTCCCATTGCGGGCCACCGATGCCTGTATCATGCCAGCCCATCCAATTGTTGTACAACCGGTTTGGGGGTACCGCCCGGTAGTACCAAGTTGAACCAATATATCTTCGCTCTCGCCCCCAGCCCATAGGGCTTCCGCGGCCGCCACATTCTCCATTCTCGCCAGGGTTGAACCACTTATTGAGAAATTTACCCTTCCAGTCGCGGTCCATGAAAACCGGATGAGGAGCGTAGACCGCCTTGAGGCCGTGTAGGAGAGCGACTGTTTGTGGTGTCATCTCGGAGGCGACATGATTGCCACGAAGATTCTCAACGTGCATGATGTTCAGTAGCTTCTTCGATACTCGAGACTGAGTGACGATTGTGGTTCGCCTGGGAATATCTTGCGACTTGTGAGTTGAGTCATTGTAGCCCCAAACTTGATTGGCAATGACCCAGTTGCTGTTGATGGGGTTGAACATGGGAGAGACAGTGACAACATCAGCCTCTTCACCAACACCCCATTCGTAGTTGTCCTGACTGGGACTTGAAACAGGAGGCTTGGGCCCAATGGGGTTGATAAAAGGAAATTCAGGGGCACCCCAAATAGTATTATTGCCGTACCGTTTCTCAATGTCCTGGCGAAACTCGTCGTCATAACCTCCATGAAATGTCGGGATATACCATCGCTCGTTTCTCTCCCACATGCCTTTTCGAGGCTGCTTCTTGGCGAATTCTCCAAGCTTATCCAAGAGGTGGTAGTGATGACCAGTGAACCGGAAATCCATCTCCCAGTTCCAGACAAAATCAAACTGTGGGTAGTCTTGGCTAAATTTCTGAACAGAAAGCCACTGTGCAGTATGGACGTTCTTCGATTCGGGATCTGTCAGTTTTGGATAAAGCTTCCAAACAATGTCATCGTTCCAGAGAATTGTCATGCTGCGGAACTCAGGAGGAACGCTCTGCGAGAGGACAGTCTGGTAGACATCGTCGTCCTCAAAGATGCGGAGGTTTGTATCCTTGACTTGCACAAGCAGAAAGACTTCGTACTGGCCCCCTGTTTTAAGAGACAGTTCAGATATTAGTGAGCGAATATTCTGTTTGTCGTTTTCTGTATAGTCCTTGCCAGTATAAGATCGAAGAAGGATAGCAGTTCGAGGCTCTGAAAAATAGCCGGTTGTTGGATTCCTGGGGCTTCTTGGGTGTTTCTGTGGACTTGCGACCTGGCTGATAGCTTCAGGGTTGGTCAAGGCAGGTTGGATGCCTGGGTTCGTCGAGACAGGGGTACTCTTGGGTTCTGGCTCCAGAGGAGCATCTCGCTTTGCCATTCGTGCTAGAGCAGGCTCTTGGACTTGTTGAGGTTCCTCTGGTAGTTGTGGGCCAATGACCGTTTCGGGATACATGTTAAGGTATTCGTTGACACGCTCTCGGTTCATATCAAACCGCTGGGCATTTTTGTGGAGGCACATTCGTTGAAGGTCTCCCCAGTTGACATTATCGAAGTTAAGTGGCTGCGGTTCGCCGCCAACCTTTTTGAACTGGCGATGCAGCCCATAGGGGCCAAGTCGAGTCTCACGCTCCCAGCAGAGGTTGGGGTCCATATTCAAAGCATCGTAGCTACCAAATCGAGGTAGAGGCCATTCGCGAGGCCTGCCTTTGAATACAAGCAGATCCTCGACGGGTTCCCCAGTTGCGCCCTTGCAAGGAAAGTACTGGGCGTACCCGGCGTCTTTCCATGCGGCACTGTTGTACTTTGGGTAAGGGTCATAGCGAACCGGCTTTTCAGAGCTGTACTCCACGTCGGCATCTGCGTCAAATCTGAGATCAACGCTAAACTCCTCGGGCCGAGCCTCTTGGTTCTCCAAATTCGCCAAGGTCTTTCCATAGATGAGATTTGAATGGGGGAAGCTGGAAACATGTTAGTCCGTGTATGGATTTTGGATGTCAGCAATACTCACTTAGAAGTGACAGAATAAGCGTGTCTCCATTCTTTTCTCATATCCTTCTCATGTTGGAGCTTGCCCAGATCTCCAAAACCTCTTTCCTTTCCATCAGTCTCAAATCCGGGCTCGATATCGTTGGGGTCCTCGCCATCGGTGGGATCATGCCAGTCCTTGAGGTCCTGAGCCGTGAGCTCCCAGAGTTCTCGATGAATGGCGCCGTATTGGTCTTCGGTATCAGGCTCTCCATTTCCAGTAACGGGTGGTGGCGGCGGCGAAGCTGGGGCTTTTGAGTTGGAAGGGACCACCTGAATACTGCTGCTGGGCGCAAACAGGAGGTAGTAGGCAGCAAGCATAGCAAAGACAATTATTATCATAGATCTCGGCCGTAACTTGGCGCCGAACAAGCGGCGGCTTTGCGGATGCCATTTCTTCATGATGGTGGTAGATCTTGAAGTTGGCTGATCCGGGGAGCGACCAATTAGTTGTGTGGAAGAGAATGGAACTTGGTGTCGAAACTGAGGACGAAGAAGGTCGGACAGGATCAGAGGTACATAGCTCAATGAGCTGAGGCGCTGAGACGAGTGTATTCGGTCGGGTCGATGCAAGGGATACAATTCATTAGGAGTAGGTAGTGTCGTCTACTAGTCGTTTGAATATCTGATCGCTCGGTCGCAAAGAAGTCCCCTTGAGGCCGATTGAAGGAGTGACGCGGCTTCTCTCAAAGATAGCCAAGGAAATTGAGAGGCCGAGAAGTGCAAACACGTGTAAATAATGCACAGATAGAAAAAAAAACCAGTCGCTGCGTTTAGGAGAATGTTGCGTATGATAGAACGGAAGAAAGGGAGAAAAGGCAACCTAAGGGAGACTTCATGGAATGGGTGTGGATGAGGAGGCGTTGGATTGGATTGGGCTAACGATAAGGTAGCCCGTGTACTGTGACAGAACTAAGGTTTCGATTTAGGGGTTAAGCATAGCATAGAAGTGGCGCAACGTTAGTGTACCTACACGCTACGGTAAGGTAGCATGAGGTAATATTGTCAGCCATTTATATGGAAGTTATCAGATTGGCAATACTAGCAGATTATTAGAAGTGAATTCAAGACATTCAATATTCAACGGAGTAAGAAGATTTTGTCTGGTATTTTCATCTGCTCCTACGAGACTCACCCCCCTGATTGAAGTTCCTAAATCCCTGACAGGCAATCGATCTTCATTTAGGTACACGTGGCTTTGCCTATCATTGATTGTTCAACCCTTATTTGAGATTTTATTAAGTCCATGAGAACCAAGTCCAATATTCCTTACCGTGACTACCTACATAATCAAGATTCTGTCGACTTCGACAGCCTTTGATCTATCGAATCTATTTGTCTCAACCCTTCTCGGTCATAAACCCATCATGTAGATGTAGCAAAGATTAGCTCAATCATACATTTACTAAATGGCCATCCTGTTCATCTTCAAATACCACTTGCAGGAAATTGTTCTATCAAACACGGGGGTCGAGGCCCCTACATCCACTCAAGTCACTTTGCTCGTGCCATGGGCTACTCGTCCTTACCACCTATAACTCTTCCCCGTAAAAGCACCGTTAAAAAAGTTACAGGTAATAGACCTAAACATCGCTCCGCTGACTCCAAACTCCTGGCTGAATATGGCAGTGTGGCCAGCATTGTGACATGCTCTTGAAAAGAAATAGTCTAAAGCTGTAGCAAGACATCATATACGTGATATCTTGCGTCCCTCCCCCAGGTCACCAAGTTAGTGTATAGTGTATACATGATGGTGGGTGCTGGCAATGATTCCGGGCTTGTTTTCTGGTGTAGTGGGATATTGTTTATGGACAGCTACCACACAAGAGGTTTTTGCTGATTCAACATTGCTCGGCTCTAAATCTTGTAATTTGAGCCCATGAAATACAAGATGGCGCCTTCTGAGGACACAAATGCGATGTGGTATCCCATCAAACAGATCCACTTCAAGGACCAAATGCTACCAGACTCTACTTCCAGTATTCGAGATGATGAACTTTAAAATGTGCTTCAATTATGAGTGAGCTCCTACTGAGAATCACTATAATGAATGCTATGATGCTGAAGCCTGTAATGCTTCATCTCTCCAACACCTCGTCCATACTCCAGACTTTTTCCTGAATGGCACGATGAACAGGAGACAGGATTCCACCAATACCGACGCTTTTGTTTTCAAGAAGAAGAGGGGTGGAAGGCTGTATGA